CCGTTGCATCTTCCCCTTGCCGTTCGAACCTCTTTAAGCCCTGGACCGAAAGTTTCCGACGAGCTACGTCCGTGCTATAAAGTTAGGTTGTTACAAATGAGTGGTTCCGTTTAAGAAAACAACGGTCACATTGACCTAGCCTTGAAAAGGCTACTCAAGGTCAAGTTCATATTTTCATCACATGTCCTCCTTAATGTCTTATAACTTTTACCTAAAACATTTTTCCATATCTAAAACTGTTTCTGATATATATGACCTGGGTGGGATTTTATAGACACTCTGTATAGAGAAAGTATCTTTGTCCCTGTACATCTTTGCGGAAATGAAGATCTTTCTATTTACAAATATGGAACCCAAAGACAAATACATCTCAAACTCGTAACTCATACATAATCTTAATATTTTGGATCGTAACAGTGATGAGTCGAAAGTTACGTGAATTTGCAGAGAATGTTCTCAAATTTGTCATCCCATTTTACCTATAGTAGTTATATAACAAGTGATATGATTTAAATACGAAACGGCGATAGGGTTGACATATAACAATTATGTATTGAGATGAAATGCATATATAACATTTACGCAATGCAAAATTTGTTACTGTGACATCACAAATGGGTGAAATTGTTATTTATTTGTTACTTATTGACATCGACTCAATTTCTTTGATTTGATGAAGTTTTTTGGTTATTTGTTGCCATTAGAATTAAAAAATAATTTATGTAGTTTTACAACTTTTTTTAAATGAAAGAAATATATCTTTTATATGTAACAAAAATTTTCTTAAATAAAAACTATTTTTTATATGTAATAAAAAGATTACGGTTATATCTTAACGAAAAAATAATTTTTTTGTTAATATTTACTTTTGTTTTTCCAGTTCAATTTATTATTTACTGTTTCGTATACCTATATTCTTGTCTTATTAACTACAATTAATTATTGAAAAACGCGTCGCATCGCCGCCAAGATTTGAACCTACGAACCCTAGAACAGTAGCCTAATATACTTACGCTGAGCTAATCGCACGCTTATGATTGCCAACGCTCGAATCATTGCCAACGTTACTTATACCTTATATTGTACCATTCTTATACTAATTTCATGCCTCTGCTGACAGTTTAATATTATTAATATTTGAAGAGATTACATGGAAACAAAATAATACGCTGGTATTTATTCACTTAGGAAATGATAATTGTGCATATATATGAATGAGAAAACCATGAATTAAACACACTGAATGTTCAAAAAACTATATAAAATGAATGTATTTCAGATGATACAAAAATGAACGTGTCTATCTTGTACGCTCTATCACAAGGGAATTAATCTCAAGCCCGGCGACTGCCCAGTGCTGCTAAAAAAATGAAATAAAGTGTCTCCCTCTTACGGCCAATCATACATAGCTCTTGCTTCTCATCTAGAGAGTTCTGATTCAACCATTAAATATACCTATAACAAAAAAGGTGCTAAACATAAAATATGACATAGATAAAAAACAATATCCCAAAATAATGATCTATCCATGTTAAATACTTATTTTTATATTTTTGTATCCATAAAAGAAAAATCTACACGACAACCGTACATATTATTATCTAATTGCATAAAAATAATTAACTGATAGCATAATAGAAGCAAACTATATAGAATCTAACCTATCTTTTGGATAGACTTTATTTGCTAGCGATACTGATTATTTTAATTATTTGTTATATTGACGAATAATGAGAAATAATTTGCAATAGTACTTATTGATCAATCGTTTTCTTTCATCAATTTATTACATTTGTTGTCCCTTAATATGTTTATATAATAAAGTCATTTCTCTCAATGTGCAAAAACAAATATAATGAAATATGTTCAAACACTGAAAAAGTGACGTATAATTTATGAAATTATGTTACATCGTAATGATGTAATTTTTTAGGAAAGTACAATCTCATAATTTTAGTGATATAACTGTTACAGACTACAGTATACATTTCTACAGATGTAACCAAAAAACATGTATATTATTTACATCTTTTTCTATTATGGCTTAGTGATGTAAATGTATTTTGTATTTGTTATGTCTCATTCATAGAATGGTATATGGATGTAACTTAATTACG